CTTCAAAGTTAATCGAGATCAGATTTGACTGGGGGAGACCTTCTGAGGATCTTGGCTACAGACATGCGGGAAAGAGCCAAGAAAGACTACAAGATGTACAGGTGATGTATAAACTGATCCCTCAATATGAGAACAGCTCTCAGACTGGATGAAACAGGATTAATTTTACTGGCTACAGAATCCTCATGACTTATTATTACATGCCATCCTGTCATATAGCATGGATAGAGGTTTGGTAATACAGTCCAAATGGACTTATAAAACTTGACAGATGCCTCTTACCTGCTCAAACATAAAACAAAACAAAACAAACAAACAAACAAAAAAAACATCTTTAGTACACACTTCCATACTTGTGTTAATATGGATATATATGTTACTTTTAAAAGTTTATCTGTTTTCAGAAAAAAAAACCACACACCAATGAAGACAAGTAGTACAGGTGATCTAGCCTCTCAGAATGCCCCTGTTGCAGTTTCCTCAAAATTCTGTATCCAGAAAAACTTCAATGTTGCCAGTTGAGATGGTTCAGCCTCACATACTACTCCAGTCAGGACTTCAGATAAGCTCTACACTTTCCCATCACACTGAGACTAAACAACAACTAGCTCTCCCAGGACTTGACCATTATCCCAATTTTCTCAGAGTCCTCAAAAGATGCTGTTATCCCCAGACAAGAGGAAGCAGTCTACAGAACACGATGCTCACATTCTCAAGAGGTGGGGTGGGTGGTTTTGGTCATTCAGTGGGTTATGAATGTTTTTCATCATTTAGGGGGTTGGTTACAAGTTGTTATTGGTAATCGTCAGAAAAAGAGCTGAACAAAGGAGATTAGATTCAGGGATCTCTTTCCCATATAGTATAGAAATGATGGGATAAAAGGGTAGATTGTTGAATCTACTTTTGAACAACCATTAGTCTCAAATATTTTACACTGATACAGTATATGAAAGCTATTTTTGTTATAACACTAACACACACACACACACACACACACACACACACACACACACACACACACACACTTCTACTTTTGTTTAAAGTATTGTACCCATGCAGCTCATTTAACAATGCAATATAAATTTCTAGTCCTTTAAAGTTATTATTACAAACTATTTAGGATAATTAAGAAATACAGGCTAGTAGTTAGTCACCTAACAATCAAATTTGTGGCCATGTTAGGTATGTTTTCAAGGTCAAACAGAGATATATTTTAGACAGACAGATGGTCTTCAAACACTTCAGAGACCTACAGAATATGGCATTTAAGATGTTTAATAACCTGAAGCTTTTCATGACAATAAGACACATCTGTGCTCCTGGCAGCACCAATTTACTTGAAAAAAAGAATGATGGGCATTGAAGAACCTCCATATGGAGTTTGCTTTTATTGTGGCTAAGTTAGCCACTGGGCAAGAAACTGACCTTGCCTCAACTGCTGACAGTATGCTGTACAAATTGGTCAAGCAGGACACAAAAGAAGGTGACTGCCAAACTTTGCCAAGACAAGGTAGGACAGGCCTTCAAAATTTTCCTGCTTCACAAAAAAGTCTGTCAGATATTCTAGGCCTGTAGGATGTAAAGATAAATGACCAAACGTTTCGGAGGAACACTGGGTGGCTGTCCAGGCAGCCAGATGCTGTTTCTTAGTTTTGGAAGTCGTTTGCTCTATACTTCCTGTTTACTCAGGTAATAGTATATCCTTCTCTGGTCTTTGATGGGGTTACAGACTAGACAGTTAAATAGTTGCAGTTTTCCTTGTTACCAAATTCAGAAAAAAAAAAAAAAATCTCACAAAAAGGTATAAAGTATATAAGGTTGAAAGACATAAAAGCTTAACTTATTTATCTAAGATAATGTTTTAAGGCCTAAAAAGACAGTTTTGGGTTGGTAAGTTAGGATAGAAAGTAAATTAAGTACAAAACTTTTGAGTCACCAAGATAGGGCAAATTGTTAGGATTCTGCCACTCCTCCAGCTGCATGACCACACGTGTGTGGTTCAGTAGCCAAGTAAGGGGCCTTACGTCTTACAACATCCTTGCACAATGTGGTCACGCGATCTGCGCATGCGTGGCGTAGCTCTGTAAGCCCACATGCGTATGTGCAGGGAAATCCTTTAAAAGCCAGTCACAGATTCCTCCCCTCTCTTCTGCTCTCTCCACCTCCCCGACTCTCTCCCCCTGCACATGTCTTTCACTGGCCTGGTCACTCTCTTCTGTCCCCCACTTCTCCTAGTAAAGCTCTGATACTGGGTTTTGTTGTGCCTCATGACTTTTCTGCACGGTAACAAGCACCGCATTTAATTTAAAACCAACATAAATAATAAAATATTTTCTCTGAATTTTCCCAAATACAGACAGACTGGACATTGTAAATGTAATTCTTACCCGATAATTGTTCTTATTGCATATAGATTTACTATGTTAGAGTTAAAACCTTTCCTTTTTATTTAGACAAAAAGGGGGAAATGTTGTCAGTTATTTGTACACTGTGTCAAAGATACATTGCTGTGATTGGTTTAATAAAGAGCTGAATAGTCAATAGCTAGGCAGGAGGTATAGGTGGAACTTCTGGGGACAGAGAGGACTCTGGGAGGAAGAAGGATGGAGTTGTCAGAGAGACATGGAGGAAGCAGCATGACAGTGTGAAGAGATGAGGTAACAAACCACATGAAAGAATGCAGATTAAAATAAATGGGTTAATTTAAGTTATAAGAGCTAGTGAGACAAGCCTAAGCTAAGGCCGCACTTTCATAATTAATAATAAGTCTCTGTGACGTTATTGGCAGCTCAAAGAAAAATCTGACCATAGTCCCCCTTCCAGATTAGCTTTGTGATCTCTCCAGGTAACATGTCCAAGAAAACTGCCATCTAGGTCTTTCTAAAGAACTCTGGCAGAGATTCCATTACTGTTAAACATCAATGTTCATGTCAGGACTCATTGATACAGAGACAGTTCTGGCATATCATCCAATGGCCTGCTGAGTACACCCAAATACGTGTTTTCTGGAAAGTATGCCAGGTCTGGATACCACACAAAGTGAAGTAATAGGGACTTTAGAGTACTGTCAAAGACAACAAGGATCAGCAAATTCAGAATGGCTCACTCCTGAATTTTCAGCCTCTCTTAGGAACATTTCAGCTTATCATTCTCAATCAAAAAGCTCTTAGTCTATTACAAAAAGTGCTGCTATGATCCTTGTGGTATGACTGAGCATTCCTTGGGTATATGCCCAAGAGTGGTATGGCTGGGTCTTGAGGTAGATTGACTCCCAATTTTCTGAGAAACCGCCATACTGATTTCCACAGTAACTGTACAAGTTTGCACTCCCACAGTAACTGTACAAGTTTGCACTCCCACCAAGAGTAGAGGAGTGTTCCCTTTGCTCCACATCCTCTCCAACATTGGTTGTCACTAGTGTTTTTGATCTTAGCCATTCTGACAGGTGTTAAGGTGGTATCTCAGAGTCGTTTTGATTTGCATTTCTCTGATGATTAAGGATGTTGAGCATTTCTTTAAATGACTTTCAGCCATTTGAGATTCTGTTTTTGAGAATTCTCTGTTTAGCTCTTTAGCCCATTTTTTAAATTGGAGTGCTCAGTATTTTGATGTCTAGTTTAACCTAGATGCCTGTCAACTGAAGAATGGATTAAGAAAATGTGGTACAAATACACAATGGAGTACTATTCAGCAGAGAAAAACAATGACAGCATGAAATTTGCAGGCCAATGGATGGAACTAGAAAATATCATCCTGAGTGAGGTAACCCAAACCCAGAAGGACAAACATGGTATGTACTCACTCACAGGTGGATACTAGATATAAAGCAAAGAACAATCAGACTGCAACCCACAGAACCAGGGAGGCTACATAGCAGGGGGGACCCTAGGATGACTGTGACTTATAATATGTTTTGGTTTTACTCAATTACTGGACAAGCCTCAATGAGACATTTCACTATCAGGATAAGAATTTATACTGTATCAAGCTGATAACAGATAAACAAACAAACAAATAAATCAATAAAGGAAATGGAGTTAAATAATGGAAAATAAATGGGTTAATTGTTAAACATAAATTGGATTATGTTAAATAATCCCATAAATCCCATGTTAAAATAAATGGGTTAATTTAAGTTATAAGAGCTAGTGAGACAAGCCTAAGCTAAGGCCGCGCTTTCATAATTAATAATAAGTCTCTGTGACGTTATTGGCAGCTCAAAGAAAAATCTGACCATAGTCCCCCTTCCAGATTAATCCCAATGGAAAAAAAGCTCTTGGTCATGAAAGTACAGACTGAGGAGCTAGAAGCAACCTTCAAGGTTATAAGGTCAACTCCTTTGTTTAGCCCATGAAGAAACTGAACTATGGGACAGTTAAGTGGCTTTGTCCAAAATTCAATGTTAGTGGTCATTACCAGGCCCTATTTTCACAAAGATACAGGATCTCAACTACATACCTGGTCTGAGAAGAGACATAGAAAAACAAGAAAAAAAAAAAAAAAAAAAAAAAAAAAAAAAAAAAAACCAAAAACAAAAACAAAGAGTGAGCATCCTTAAGTGTTTACTATGCAACATTTAATACCTTTACAATCTTCAGTGAGGTAGGTACTGTTACTAACTCCCTCTGCAGCTGAGGAAGCTAGAAGTTCACAGTAACAGAGTGATTTGCTCAGGATCATAGGTAGTAACAGGAATGGGCTCTGAACACAGGCAATCTAATCCCAGTCTTTTCCCTTCCCTGTATCCTACACCTCTCTCTTGCCTGAAGATGTCAACAGCTGGAAGGAAGGGAGATAACGTAATCACCAGCAGGTTCCCCTACCTCTTTCTATTAGCTCATTAGGCTCCAAAAAACTAGCTCCCTCCCGTACCAGACTAAAAAAGAAAAAAAGTTCTTCCCAAACTGCCTGACAAAAGACAAGTCCCCTACCTCAGGCTCCAGAAGAAACACTAGTATACAGTCTACTCCCACACACAGAGAAGGCAGGTCTGGACTTACCAGAGGTTAATCCATCTCCAAACAGAGTGCTAAGGATCACCAGCTGAAGGAACACTCCATGCCCCACGGAGGTCACGACAAACGCTGAGCTGCTCTTTGGTGCTATCCTGCCATGGCACATCTTTTATCCGTCCGATGTTATTTACTTATGTATTTATTTATTAAAAAAAAAAAACTTTAAAATCCAGAAGAAAGAATCCTAAAGCATGCCAGGAACAGCTTCACCTGTAACAAACAGACAAAAAGACTTAAGTGAAAATTTCAGCCATAAGTTGGTTAGAAACAAGCACTCTGCAAGGAAGCCGCAATCCCACACTAAGTTGGAAGAATTCTAGCAACTGAATCCTTACTGCCAAGAGAAGAGAGAAGCACAGAAATGGGTTTTCAGCTCCTCCTGGAGAGCTGCCAAAGCTTGCTGCCAGCTGTTGTCAAAATCTGGTCCAGCAGCCAGACCCTTGCAAAAAGGATCAGGACTCACCTGGACGTCACCTGCATGGCTAGCCAGGTCAGGGCTGCTTTCAGAGACTTCTTCCTGCCCTGCCAGGACCACTGACTTACGGGCTCCGGCAGAAAGCAGCTGCCGACACAGAGCTGCTGCTACGCCTGTGTCACTTGGCCTCAAAGCCACTTCAGCTAACCAAAAGGAAAAACAGTGAGCACGTGTCTCAAAGGAATAACCACACCGCCTAGAGAAGGAATGCAGCAGCAGGAGCCAAGGCCACAGAGGCCTAACCTGTCAGAGACTAAGGAGTCCTGAGGAGCTGACTCGACAGCCATGAATCTCAAAACTATTCAAGGCTCAACCCATACACCTGTGACAAGACACCTGTGACCAGAGGGGTGACACAATGATGGGGATGTGAGAGATAGGCTGTAGTTGCTAATTGGCCCCACCACCCATTCTGGTTGAGGCTGGCTTCTGAATAGTGGAAAGGAGAGAGAGGGAGGGGGAGAGGGAAAGGAGGAGGGAGGGAGGGAAGGAGGGGGGAGGGAGAGATGAAAATAAAACCAATCTTTAAGATAACTGCAGCCCCAATCACGATTCCCCCGTAACATCGCCATGATGAGCTAGCTATCTAATGCTCAGCTCAGAACCTTTGCCATAATTAAGAACTGAGTGGTTGGATACTTGGGGACAAAAATAAAATCAGTTCCAGTA